ACTTCCCGCTCCGCGCGTGGGGCCCTGTGGCTGGGATCCCGGCCTCCTCTGTGTCCTCGGAGCTCAGATGGCCCGGATTTCTGTGTTGGGAAGCCGGGCTCAGTCCGCGACCTGCCTGTGCCGGCGGCCCCTGGTCCTCAAGGGCTGGCGGGGTCCCCGGAACCTCGAGTCCAGGCCGGGGGCTTCTGGGATTCGCCAGTGTGTTCGGGCTGCCGTGTGTGACGTCGGGGCTCTTCCCTGGCAGTTTACAGACATTGCCTGACTTTGTCAAAAGGAGAGGCCCCAGTGTAAGGTCTGCAGCATTCGGAGGGTCAGGCAGGGTGGCCCTGCTTCCCGAGGCGGAGCACGCAGGCGTGGAAAAGAGGTGGGGAGGAATCTGATCGCACTCTTGGCCTGGTGACAGTGATGGAGGGTGGTGTTCACAGGCGCGGAGAAAGGAGGGAAATTAAGGAGCATTTGCGTGTATGTTTTGTTTTTACTGATCAATTAGTTTACCTAATCATGATTGAGTCAAAATGACTTCGTACAAATTAAAGTAAAAGAGCAAGTGTAATGGGAAAGCATTTCTTTGCGCTACACTAATTCTCTAGATCAGAAAGTGTTGTGTGGTGAGGGTTTTGTAATCACAGCTGTTTCCCAGGATTAAGCAATTGGATGAAATTCAACATCATCAGCTGTTTGCTTGTGCACCCACAGAGTCGGTGCCATGAGAATGTATTTTTTGCCCCCTCAAAAGTCTCTTAGGGGCAGTGTGAGCCAAGAACATCTTTGGGTTTGGCTGGCTGAAGAAAAGGGTTTATGAATTTGAGATGTGCAAATACATCATTTTGAGTGTGCAAAATAATTTTTTGAAGATTGGTTTTCTTCTCAGATTCTGACATAGAGAACCAAAATCTCCGTGAATTTCTTGAGCAATCAGAAAATCTTTGATTTTTTATGCTAAGCTCTTTTCAGGCAATAAATGACTTTATGCAAATGAGGTGACTCTTGGTGTCACCCCACATCACCTTGGGATGGGAACTGGTAACCAGATAGACCAAATACACGTTTGGATTTGCATCTGCAGTGCCCTGGATCATGTCAGAATTGAATTACGGGACAAAGCTGGTGTTGGAGAATTGGTTGATGTTCAGCAAACCACACCTTTGGTATCAGAAGTGATGTTAGAAAAAGACAACCACCATCAACTGACTGCTGAGTGTATGGTCACTGGTCAGACACAACCTGTATGAAGTGAAGTTCACATTGGGAGGAAGGGAAGTAGGTTTGTGGAGGTCCCAGAATTAAATTTCCTAACTGCTTGGTTTTTCCCTCACTACTAGTTTACATTCCCACCAGCAGTGCAGAAGGTTTCCTTTTTCCCTACAGCCTTACTGGCATTTGTTGCTTTTCTGAATGCTGATAATTGCCATTCATTCTGGAGTAAGCTGAAATCTCAGTGTAGTTTGATTTGCATTTCTTTTAATGGCCAAAGATGTGGAACATTTTTTCATATACATGTTGGCCACTTGCACTTCTTTTGAGAGTTAAGACCATTTACATTGAGTATTTTTATTGAAAGGTATTTAGATTCTTGTCATAATTTTTCTAGAGGTTGATTCTTTTTTATTTTACTTCATTATAGCTTGCATCTAGATGACCCTCCAAAGCCTCCTGTGCTCATAGGTGGGGCTTTTTGAAATTTGCTAGATGTAGGGTTTGTGATACTGGGATTAAGGGTATGCGTTATTAAACTAGTACACTGACTGGAATTAGCATAGATCTGGGTGTGGCTGAATTGGTTTACCAAAAATAGAAGCCACACCTCGGGTATGGGTGGCACCACCTGAAAGGTTTATAGCCTGGATGGGATAAAAGGGAAAGGCAGGTTTGCTGCTGCTTGCTGCCTTCTGCCTGCAGTACCATGAACTGTTTCTCCTCTGTGATGTCCCTCCACCATGCCACTCTGCCTTGGAGCCAGCTGACTGCGGACTAGAACCTCTACAAACTGTGAGCTGAAATAAACCATTCCTTCTTTAACTTGTGGGTGTCAGGTATTTTGTCTCAGTGATGAGAAAAGTAAGATGTACTTTTATTTAACTACTTTCCCTATGAGATGTGTTCTTTCTTTTAGGCTCTTGGATAATGTTGGGATCTAGTTATCTCAGTTTAGGATTCTTTTAAGTATTTTCAACAATGCTGGATTGGTGGTCATGAGTTTCTTATTTTGTCTTTGCCATGGATTTATCACAAATGATCTTTATTTCTTAATTTTTAGGGATAACTTTATAGGTTAGATTGGCATTTATTTTTGTTAGGGGCCTAAAACCATTCACTCCAAGCTGTCCTGGCCTTTAGGGTTTCTGTTGAGAAATTTCTCATTCTGGTGGGTTTGCTTTTGTAACTTATGTGACATTTTTCTTTTTTCTTTTTACAGCTTTTAGTATTCACTCTATTCAAACTTCTGATATTTTGGCTGATGTGTCATGGAGAGGTCTTTTTCTGATTGTATAAATGATAAAAGGCCTCATTTACTTGTGTATCTTTTTCTAGATTTGGAAAATTTTCTGCAATAATTGCAATGGATAAATTTTTTATATTAGATTCTTTCTTCATCAACCTCTTCATCGAGACCAGTGATCCTTAAACTTTTGTTCTTAGTCATCAAGTAGTTGCTGGCTCATTTAAAAATTTTTGTCTTGTTATTTAGTGTTAGTAAATATTCTCCTACCTCAACCTTGTCCTCAAGTCTTGATAGCTTAGCTCTGACTGATCTGGCCTACTGCTGTAACTTTCACTTGAGTTTTTTCTTTCCAGATTTCTGGATAATTACTCTTTTTCATAACTTTGATTTCTTTATAAAAGCAGTCTTTGATATTCTGCATTGCCTTCTGTAATTCATTTAGCAGTTTATTTACACCTTCTTTAAACTTATTGATCATTATCATCTTTTGATTCATTATCGTCTCTTCTTCAGTCTAGTCAGTCATTTTCCCTATTTGTTTTTTGAGTATGGAAATTATCCACCTCAGTGCCTGTGAGATCATCTTATTGAGAGTTATCAGTGTTTGGAG